GAGCAGAGTCCAAGCACCGGCGTCAGCCATCATTTCAGCCGGGAACTGGCTCTGCTCGGCTCTGCTAAGGGCAGGCAGGCCTGTTCAGAGGGCGCTCGGGGGCCACACGCTGCTGTTTTAACTGTGTTATTTTACACTGTGAGTAATAACATCTGTGGTGAAAGGAGGGCGGTTCTAAGGTCAGTATCAGGAGTTCTCCTTACTAAGTAAATGTTACCTTTTGTTTTAAAAGAAGAAATAAGAATACATTAAAAAAAAAAAAACAACACAAGAATGTATCCTGCTCCCCCACAAGAATCTTCTCCTGTTCCATATATGTAAATGGTAAAATTATCCCTGATTTCCTTAAGAGTCCTAAAGTACTACAGGTATTTACACACCAACAAAGACTCTTCTATGTTAACAAGCAATTTGAACAATGTAGGGAACTTAACAGAGGTGGCTGGCAGAGAACAAAGAACACAGATGCAGAATAACAACTAATGCATGGGAATTTTACCACATACAGAAAAAATTACAAACGTTTTTAGCAAATGTTGGAGTGAAAGATTTTCCAATAAGTATGCCATTTAATAGCAAATTATTTTCTCCTGAAAAATGGGAATAAATGCAACAGCTTTGAGTTAACTGTTTTAACACTGCGTGCAAAGCTAACATGCAAATATTCACATTTGCTAACACCTAAATTAGATGTTATAACTGTCAGTGCAATTCAGTCTTTTCACTTGAGTATACAGGAAAAGTCAAAAACTGTAAATTTATGGGTTTATATTTAAAAGTGAGCTTGTTCTAGAACTCCTAGCTCAGCTACGGAAGCACTTGGATGTAGTTTTAGAAGCTGACGAATTTGTTTCCTTTCCTGTACAATTAGAGACTAATATTCCCACAACAAGGATGAGATATTCCTTTCTAGACAGGACATTAACTCCAGACCAAGGTCTACCAAACAGGTACCCTTCTGAGGTATTTTAAGTAATGTTCCCTTTAACAACAAAAAAGCAATGCTTTTGAGAGTATTTTCCTTGCTCTTTGTATTTGGACTCCCAAGCTTCTGACCAAGACCCAGAGAAAGCACCTTCTTTCAGCAGAGAACTCCACACCCTCAGGCCACATTGAGAACACGGCAGGGTGGACTTGCACGGGCAAGGCACGGACCAGCACCCCGCTGCGGGAAGCAGCACCCGTTCTGGTCGGCCCGTTCCACGCCTCAGTGAACACAGCTCCCGCAGACGCCAGCAGGTGTTTTTCTCTGGCAAAGGCTAGCAGAGCCGACGCCATCAGGCCGTGCTCTCACACGGCAAGAGCTGTTTCACACCACAAACGAAGCGCGAGGCCTTTGCACGGTTTCGCAGTCGGCACTTCCGAGCCACCCCTGCAGCTGCTCGCCCTGCCCTCGCGCCGGCGCGGCGGGAGAGCCGGGGCACAACGCGGGGAACCAGCACCCGCGTCACGACGGTCCCTGCAGAGCCGGCTCCCTCAGAACAGCCACCCGACACACGAGCTCGCCCCAGCTGCTCCGCCACCCACGCCCGTTCGTCGCCCCTCACCAGCAGGAAGGCCAGGCAGTGCCGGGCTGCCGCCGCCCGCGCTCCCCTGTGGTAAAGCTACCGCACGCCACGCTTCGGCACCGCAGGGATTCTTCTCCAGTTACTACGACTACCATACACCATCACAAAATGCATCATCTCATTTATTCATGTCTTAAATGGGCAAAGATCACCCTACGGTACAAAAAATCTCGGTGTTCTTTGCCTTCCGATGGCAGCTCGCCTACAGCTCACAAATACAGGCGAGCTCCTGCTGTACCGTGAAAGGCGCGCAGGAGGTTGGTCTCGCCTCCACGTTGGGTTCGTCAGCTGCTTCCCACGCCCAGGCGCGATGGCAGGGTGAGGGTGAGGGCTCGCCCGATCTGCTGGGCAGCAGGCGCAAGCTCAGTCCCAGCGGTGCCTGCAGGAGCCCAAGGCCAGAGCTAATTACTAAAAGGCTCATTTACTAGAACCACATATCCGACCACGAAGGAAATGCTCTGTTTTGCAGAAGGAAAGGAATGAATGCTTCGCCCGCAGCGCGAGCCGGAGTGGGGCTGGAGGCGCAGCCCCTCGCTCCCCGCAGACCACACGTGCTGGTTCTGAGGAGCTGGCAGGGAAGGGTGGCATTACCTTTATTGAAAGCATTGACTCACACATTATTAGAAACACAGTACCATTTTAGGAAAGGTTGTCAGAAATATGAATATATTAAGTAACATCAGACGTAAACCAACCATCGGGTCCACTTTTGTACATGCTAAATGTATTTTCTTTCCTAGATCTGGCTATACCACATAGGTACGGTTAGCAGAGTATTCTACACAGATTGACCTGTCCCAGCACTAGACTCTGAGAACAGAGATCGTCATGTAGTTTAAAAGAAGGAAAAAAAAAAAGGGGGCATGGGAACCTACTACCCTAAGGCTCTGTTTGAGTCTGGCAAGCTGAGCTGGACGCCGGTTTTATCCTTATGGCCAAAAGCAGAATACAATGGAAGCCTCCTCAATGGGGAAGAACACAAGGGAAGAGAGAATTTACAGCTTTTATTAGGTCTTGCAGATAACCACAGTATGCTTAACCAGTAGTCACTGTATGGACCAAAAGATATACAGTTAATGTGAACGTACTATACTACTAAACTTGTATTAACACAAAAATGAAAAACTTTTCCAGACCAGAAGACTGCTCTATACAGAGGTGGTTTTAATTGTTTACAAATAGTCTCATTATCATATATTCTGCAGTTCTAGAGCTGAGGCACTACAGCACAGGCATCAAAAGTCTCACCCAAATTCCCAGATATATGCTATGACTAAAATTTAAAAAACAAAAATAATTTGCAGACAACTTCAATTTCAAATCTCTTCAGTCTCTTAAATTTGTCTTAAATCTCTGGATATCAAAAAACCTCTAACATACTTGCTCCTGAGGATAATTAGCCCCCAAATTCTTTTTTTAAGTATACCTGAAATATACTGATAATTTACAAACACGTTTCAGAGTTACATGATTGGTAAGTAAACAAGTCTTTGGTAAATAATAACTACTCTGTTCTTTACTCAAAGTTAAGTTAAAAAACTTAATTCATTTTTAAATCTATATTAAGTGATTTTTGTAATAATTATTTCTATAATGAATAAGGCTCATATGGCACAATGCTCGGTGGGATGAATGGGTGTACGTAGCAAAACCCGAATGAAGTTTTCAGGTTACAAGTCCTGTTCCTAGGAGGTTCCTGCTCTGGCTCATTGTCTTTTTGCGCCCTTCAGCCAGGCCCAGGAAGCTGAATCGGAATGAGAGCTTTCTAATGAATTAGATTTCCAACATTTAAAGGTGTCAGCATATCTAGAAAATACTGTCTATTGCAAGGATACGTTCTACAGTAGGTACCAGCTTGTATGCTAAAAACTACAACAAACCAATTAGTTTAAGGTTGAAATAATACATTATAGCTGCAGTATCTCCTAAAAATGCCTGCTTTACCACTTGTGCAGTAAAACAGAAAAACTATGCACGCTTGTGCGAGCTGGAGATGACTGCTTGCTCCCAAAGGAAACCTAAAGGCACAGGACATCGGTAACGTGAATGAAAATCTGGTAACAAACATTGGCTTCCATTTTATTACAAGAACGCAATTAGAAACCGAATGCCTCAACTGATATTTTTACTGTTTGCATACTAGATGCCTTCACTTTGGCTAAAAGATACTATACTATGTCCTTTAAGAAAAATAGCAGCATAAAATAGATCTTGTAATTTCAGAGGAGAAATAAAAAGAAGTCTGCTTTAGGTTTGGCTTACAGAGTTTTGGGGATTATTTTAAACATGTCCAAGAAATGATCAGAATATTTTCAATGACTATTGCAGATTTACTGTTCTACTACAGTTTTTTAACCGTCTTCCTTGTTAAAGGATCAATTACATTTGAGACAATAAATAGTATAGTCTACAATAAATAATATTCAAGTCAAAGTATTGTACTTACAAAATAATATAACACTGTAATAGGGGCTTCAAGATCAATTCCATTTTGTATATTCTGCAGCAAAAATAACATTTCTAGTAGGAAGAAATTACTTACAAACCTAGCAAGATCTACACATTCACACGTGTGTAAACAACTTAACAAGGTTTATTATATTTCCAGAAAAGCTATGCTTTTACAGCAGGTCTTCAGCTAAATGTTATCATAATATGGTAATAAATATATAACAGGGCTTGTATTTAGCTCCATCACAAATTTTAATTTGAAAAAAAAAAAATGGAGTGCCATTATTTACAAAGAACAGCAGCTTTTCCTTTTGCTTCACAAGTGACTGTATCTGTGTGTGAACAAAATGTTAGGGCGAGGCATTCCAGATGAACTGCAGCTAAGGTTGGACGAGGATGATTTCATGATGAATAGTGAAGGTCCTGGCAATAAATACCTAGAAAGGATATTTAAAAATACAGCAGAGTTTACAGACAAAGTGACATAAAAGAGCAAAAGAATTAGTCGTTCACGCTCCATACCTTAAGATCACTGTATGCATGAAATTATGTAAAATAAATGCTATTTATAAAACATACCGGGCATTAGGCACTAGCTAACTCAAGAAGCAGATCTAAACTCAGAGAATCTCTTAGCAAAATTTCAAGATGTTGTATGAGGATCAAACATCTTTCCAGTCTTTTATGTTTAAAGCAAGCGGACAAATAAAACAATGGCATCCTGTGTAACACTACTACCAAAAATTAATACTTCACCCATTGTTCCCTGTTACTATAGTACTACTTATTCATTTTAAACTGGGTAAATACTACAATTTATGTTAACCAGCTTACAAAGAGTTAAGTTATAAAGAAAAGTTGATTAGGAAAAACCCAGAAATTTTCAGCTTTGGTTTCCAGCTCTAATTCTCTAAAAATAGATATGCTATCATCACTACTCTAGTAAAGCAAGAAACAATGATGTTACAACCTAGTAAGTCACATCAATGACTACTTACCTTTTAAATTCAGGCAACTACATAGCCGATATTTTATGTAATAGAACAAAAAATAATTTATCATATGCCTAATATTCATTCTTAAACCTTTTCATGTTATCATTTCCTAATAGCAAATTGCAGAAGTCATTAAATGACCACAGTAAGTGCACAAAAACAACTTCCACAGTAAATCAGAATTTCATAATGAATTACGTCAATGTTAGGATGGATGAACGCAACACACTGTACACAAACTATTGCTTAAAAGTTGTTGCATCATTCTAGTGAATCATATCGATTAATGATGAATAAGTTAAAAGACTGATCACATGGACAGAAACAGCATCACACTGTCAAAGGGAGACAAACTATGTAAGAAAGTGTACATTTTCGGTTTGTTTAAGCTTTGAGAAAAGCTGTTATAAAAATATTATAACCAATATATTTTTTAAATAATTTACAAAAAAATAAAGTCTGATTTGGCATGGATTGGTGGTGAGCTTGACAGTTCCCTACATCACCAGACTGAGTCCTACCTTTGCTTGATGATACAGTAAAAAACTCTAATGCTTCCCAGAGAATACGCCACATGATAGATAAGATTATTTAGCAAGCTGTAAGGATCTAGCAGTACATGGTTGGTGGTTTTTTTACTTAATTTTGTAACACAGGTGAATTTATCAAAATATGAAAAGTTTTATTTTAGCTATTATTTTAAAGAGATTTTGCTATAGTTTTTGAGCTCTCCTATTGTTTTATTTATACCTTTAATTTTGTGAGAAAAAAATGACATTAATACACGTTTATATTAATATTCCTATTCGTGTTCTTCATGACATATAGTGAATTTACAGTTAGGAGATGGGATTGAGAACAAATCTAAAAGGTGAAAAAAGAACTCCGTGGCTGCTTTCATTATCTTTTTCTCTCTCCCCGCAGAAATAAATTTTCTCAGATAAAGAGCTATCTATCTGTAATCTTTCAAAGCTTTAGCTTCACAAATATTTGTCAAACACAAAAAAACAAAAAATCGGTTTGTGCTCAGAAAAAACAAAATTCTTCAAATAAGATTTTATAAAGTCTTAAAAAATTGACTTCTACATTTATTAAATTATACTCTGATCTTCTGGCACTTCACACAATTTTACAGAAAGTCAAGAAAACTATTATTAGCAGTTCAGATTCTTGTATCATTTAAACACAGACACCTAGATGAAAAGTGAAACAGTATTGTGGTTCTCCCATTTCTAGAAAAATCGTTCATTACCTTACAATTGTGGAGCATAATGGGCAACAGGATTTATTTCCACGCGTATCTTTCATTCACAAATTCAGAATATCATGGTTAACTAGAATATAGCTATAGCCACAGTATAGATGTAATATTTGTGGAGATTAATATAAAAACTGTAATTAGAGTTGTCGTAACACTCCATTGCTGAAGACATACTGATATTTAGTATATAAAGTGCTTAGATTCCTCTAGCCTGTGAAATTTATGAATAAACTTCCACTCAGCATCCAAAGAAACACAGAAACTGGAGCTGAGAAAGTTCTGTTGGACCATCCCTTTCACTGCTTTCCAAATGCAAGGCTGTTAACTGCAGCACATTAATCTGATCAGTTTGAATAGCTTGTGGTTGGTCATGATGAAAAATTTTCTGCAGTATTAACAGTAAAATCAATAAAAACTTCAAGGTTGAAGATTTTCTAGTCTTAGCCAATCCAGATGACTTTACCACACTCCTGCTGTAGCTCAGTAGATGTTAATATTGAATATGATTTGTTTTGTGGCTAACATACTTCTGCTTTTGCTGTGACTAAACAGCAAATTTTTCAGTTTCTGGTTGGTTTTAAATTACGTTAGAGTGCCTTAAGATCCAAATGGGTTCAGTGTATCAGATAACTAGTCTGAGATATAGCAAGTAAGCAATTAAGTCATAAAATAAGTTTAACAGATAATATATCAAAGGTTTGCTTTTCACATAATATTTAAATCACGAAGCCCTTCTATGAAATAATGTCTGTTATATAAACAAAGCATTTATAAGTTTATATATATAATGACTCAGATTGCCATTCTGGATAGAATTTGGAACCCAAGTAATTTGAAACTTGCATTTAATTCTCCACCTATGACTGTTAAATTGCAGGTCATTGACTCCCACAGTTGGGCATTTTCAGTCATGCCTACACTGACGATATTACAATCCCTATTGCATCCAGTTGGAGAACTAAACCAGCCAATGGGGAACCGGGTAAGTGCCAAATAATTTTTTTACTATATGATGCTGTTTTGCAAGGTTTGAAAATATATTTATGCTCTGTAAGATGAAATAATAAAACTTTCAATCTGTAGGTTTTGGCAATCAACTTTGCAAAACTGTGCAATACAGTAAATCAGATGGCACTTACCTGACCCTTGGCTGGAGCTGTGCCCCTATAGCATCCCACTGCGAATGTGAAGCCAGAAGTATCACACGTTAGGATACCTCTAGGAATGCAAATCTGGAATCACTGACTTTGAGGGATCTGAGAAGGGGAAGAAATGAAATTTTCAGTTCAATTCATGGAAAGCCTTTGCTGCAGCTACTTGGGCAATAGGCAACCAAGACTTTAATAAGAGTAATTTCACACCAAATGTGTATATCTAGTCTTCTTTTAGTAGCACTTCAGTGGGCTAGAGAGATTAGAACAATAGAAACTCAGGATCAAAGGAAATGTTGGGATTTTGCCTTTTTTTATTTTAAATACATAGTGAACTAGGCTGAAAGAGAAGTGTAGTGGTAGCAAACTAGACTGAAACCTGTTCCAATCTTATCCTTCTAATTTAGGAAGAGAGTATTGAAACGTATACCTTGTATCATCCCAGTGGGGGCTAACTGCAGTTGGGGATCCTCTTGAATCTGATGAGTATTTGTAAACCACCAGCAGGCAGTGTTTACAAAGCTGTACTATTCGTTGGCAACACTGGAGCTGCTCTGGAGTCACCACCTCTGTGCTTTTACCGAATGTGGTTTCCCAAGAGCTCCTGTTATGCAAAAAGACACGACTTCATGTTATCTGTCACAAATTGCAATCTGAGAGCTTTACTCCTTTAATCAGATTGAACAACAGATGAACAAGAGAAAAAGCATGACCTTGCCTGTTTATAGGAAAGGTCGAGGCTATTTAACACAAAAGCTGGCAGATGCTGAGTCCAAAACACAAATTAAGAAGTTAATCTTCATATGTGAAATGTCCGCAGCCATTTTTCACTCAGTCTGTTCCCTACAGCATTTATAGAGCCATTACTTAGGTTTAGCACATAAGGATTTACTGTCACTTAATTGTATATGTGTCTTACAACAGGAATAACAAAAAACACTTATTAACAGATCACCACCTGAATGTGAATGTGATACCATATTAAAGGAATAAAAACAATAAATTATTTCCAAATGTCTATACAGCATAATAATACTCTTCTTCTAATTTAAGTACATGATACTAAGAAACAAATATTAAATTAATTTACAGGAGATGAGTATGTGCTCTGCTTCCTTATCCAAATAATCATATGAGAAGAGATTCTCAGTTCAGTCGTTCAAATACTACTTATTATTCCATCTGGTCATATGGACTTGTTACAATTAAGTGCAACTTGCAGCGTGTATCTGTGAGACCATTCCTTTGTGAAATGCAGACCATCATGCTTTTGTTTATTTAAAAAGCCTTTTCTCTTTCCAAAAAAACCCAAACCCTACCATACCAAGGTAAACCAGGTATGTTTTACCACAGAAGATGACAACAGTTCTTTGCATACACCTCAACACTTCTGTTTGCGCAAAATCCTGACCAGATTACAGATCATCTGTTTTAAAGGCAACATGGTCCCTGTGAAGACTTCCTTTTAGTGAAAACATTATCCAGTAGCACAGATGGTTTGTAAGCTTGAGAGTTTTTGTTTGTTTATGAAAGAAGCACTTCACAGAGTGAGGAAAATTTGCTACATCTGGCTTCAGCACAACAGCCAGGATGATTTTGCCTTGTCCACTGAGATCAGCAGTAGATTTCACATCCCTGGTGTGGAAAGGTTGTCCTTAAAACAACATCAAAGAACAAGCAAGCTTACTTCTGGCTAGCGAGCTTTTTAAAATTACGCTGTATTAGGATGGAATTCTGAACGTGAATGACTAAAAGATAAGCTGTATGTATAGGTCACTGATTTTTCAGCCTGGCTCCTCAGTCCAGATAGTCTATTCCAGCTGAAACTCTTCAGTCCTACAAAATTTCCACTGCACACATAATTTTCAAGTGATGCAAGCATTTCTCATTATTTATCATCCATATAATGAATTCTTTAAGAAATATTTTTTGTGAGGCATCAAATCTGTTTCATTTCATAAACAGAATAATTCTACTACTTGAAGAGCTACAATTTTCTTTAATATATTTTTCTCAATATTGTTTCCTCTCTGGGAACTTTGCACAGGTATTTTTACATGGAAATTGATCTATTGTCTTCATTCTTTCCTCAAGAAGTCATGTGATGGTTGGTAGAAAGCAGCAAGACAAAGTTCTAAGTATTACATTCATTCAACAGATTCACAGTGCTACACATAATTACATTCTAATTCAATCCATAAATCTCCAAAAACTTGTGGAAGAAACTCTCCTGACAAATTCCTTAAGTTCCAGGTTTTGAGGTCTGTGATCACCTTCCTACAGTTATAAGGGATTTTATCAGTGAAGAATAACATGTGGCCTGCTGTAACTATGGCCGATTATGAACATAGTGGTATACAGTTACCCTAATTGAGATTTAGAAATATATATGTGAATTTTAATAAGCTTTCACATAAATGTGACTGTGCAGTCTCCACCATGTGCTAGAGATTCAGTTCATACTCCATTATACTGCAGTCAACAGGGATCAGAGCACTGTTACCTAAGGAAGCTTAATTTGTTACGCTGTAACTTTAGTTTCCACACATTAGTAAGAAATCATGGAGTCCTCACCAGACCCAGAAAAGAGTATTATGCTTGATTGCCCAATATTGTCAATTATGCGTTATTCTTTTTATAACCATCTGAAGTCAGCTGATTCTACTGGTTTTCTCTTATTAATTTTAATTGTTTATTATACAGTAAAACAACGAAGCTTTATGAAACCATCTACATCACGGTGATGTCACCGAGGTTTTCTTTGTTTCTTTGTTCATTCTTCTTGCTAAAATAGCATATGCCTAGAAGAGATCTAACCAGTACAGGGAAGCCTTCAGGCTATTAGGTCTGTTCTCCCAAGACATATATCTTACGGATAGTCAAAGTACTATATTCCGTATATTTCCATATACACATGGTGTTTCTGAATTAGCACATGAATACCCCTTCCCAACATATTTCCCCAAATTCTACACATGCCCTATGTTTATTCCAATCTGTTCTTCTAAATGGCACAATGAACTCTAAGGAGGAGTGATGAGAAGTTGGCCTCTGCTACAGAGGTGCTGTCATGTGTTGTCTGTTGTGTATTACATGGCAAGCAGGATGCTTGTAACTGAGTAAACAACACACTGGGAAGGTACAAACAGCCTTTCTGTTTTCTTCTGTGAATTCTGTATTAAGTATATTACGTGCAGAGTAATCTCTACACATACTGCGCATTTGTATATTACTTTTACAGTATTTTTAGACTCTTTTACATAGCAACTCCTCTTACAAGGAATTGGATCTTTGTCAAAGAATTTAGCTCCACTTCGGAATCAGTGGAGTCTTGTTCTGCATGAATGAAACTGTTGCTAGATGAGAAATCCTGCTCTTCACTGAACTCTTCCGCTGGCTCAAAGACTTTTCTCCCGAGCCAAGTGAGCAGCAGAGTTGTTCGAAGGTTTTGAACAAAAAACGTTCTTTGCAGAGAAAAAAAATCCAAAATAAAAATTTTCATGCATATTAGAAGATTTGCACACTAAAAGTAAAATTCAAAATAATAACGTTATTAAAAGGGAAGGTAATTGTTCTATTTTATGACAACAAAAATGGATTTTGGACTCAAGACTTCACACACCTCTGCTGGCATGAAGAAGGGACCTTGCATCTGTTGAGGATTATACAAAAGAAATGTTTCAGACTGGAAACATCGAAACCTTTTCTCACCCTACTTTAACTTTCAGAGTATGCTGCATTCCCAGTACTTACCTCTAGCAAATCTTAGGGCTGACATCTGCATGTTCCCATGGCCTGTCTCAGTGAAAAAAAAGTGAGGACTCCTAATGGCTTGCACAAAAACAACAAGCCTTCATCAATGAGAATATAATAAATCTCTTGGAACACCTTAATGCAAGCCAATCAAAACCCCTTCCATTCTTTATACATTGTATATACTTACAGAGAAAATATCTTCTTTTACGCAATATATTTCATACTTATACATTTGTATTCTTATTTTATGAAGAAATTTGGCGGGTGCAGGCAGGGGAGGGGGAGATTATTTTATACTTCTGATCTGATTCCCTAAACCCATCCTTACATGAATGCCTTTGACTTCGGGAATGTAGATTTATAAGTGTAGGATATTGAACTTTTAACGTATGGCCTGATCTTTTTTTCCCCCCCCAGAAAACTTGTATTTACTACCCAAAGCTAAAACATCTGCTTACCTCAGTGTGGACACTTCCTATTCTGCACATCATTAAATTCCCACCAGTGTGGGAAACAGTGAATGTAATCAAGCATAGAAATTCAAACTGATTATTTGTAAATCACAGAACTGACATTGCATTTGGCATGAGATGTCAGCTGCACTTGTGACTGAATTTCTCCCTTGTAAGTCTTGAGCTCAAATAGATTTGAGAGTGATTTCTGTTGATGGTAAGTCCACATTTGACACTTACAGTGGTCTGGCCTCAAAATTGTGCACCATCCAATGAAAGAGTTGACCCAAAGCTCAGATATTTTGAAAATTAGGGCTTTTTTCTTAGATTATTACTAAATGTCTGATTCTGTTACTGAAATGGTTGGCCTAGATTGTTTGATATCTAATTATACTACATCTTTAGGTGGTTTTAAAAAAAGATCAATGTATTACAGCATTCTCTTAAATGAAAATGAGAAACAAAGTACGCCAGGATTGATTGTAACTGCGAAGTTACAAAGAAGACTAAAATAAGAAAAATAGGCTTACCCTGAATTACAGAAACAGTTCCATAGACCTTGACCATGGCTCCAAAGCAAGCGATTAAATACACGGTTAAAGAGACGGTACAGATGTAAATTTTCAATGTCTGGAGCCTTCCAGACACACTGTAGAACTGCATGAACACTTGTCTTGACTATATCCAAAACCTAGAAAGGAGTATTCCAAGCAAATCAAAGCAAAGGCATATTGCAAAACCTAAAACCAACTGTTCGCTGATTCACTGCACACACACACAAACACACAGATGACTGCATAGCTATAAATTCCCACAGATGTCTATGTTTCATTTCTGTGCATTCATCAGCAAACTTTTGTGATATGCTTTTTCTGTCAATAACATTTAGCAAAACCAAATCAAAATATTTTATTTTTATTACAGAAAAGTTCATTTCTACTTTAGTCAGTCTGTTCAATACCGGCTCATTTAAATGACAAAAAGAGTTTAAAAAGAAACAAAATGGACACAATTACAGACTAGAAGCAACATAATTAACAACCCAAGTATTATATACTTGAAGATTATATCTTCTTTTCCCCCTCCCTTTTAAAATACCATCCATTTTATAAAGAACTAAAATGTCCTGAAAAGCTACAAGCTGCTTTTGGTTTAATGCCTCTTGAATCTTAGTATTACCCTAGATCAAATTATTTTAGTTTACCTTTCAGGCAGAAAACAGTGTAGTGAAATCAATAAGCAGGAAAATAATAAGCAAGATATTTAAAATAGCAATGTTTATGGTAATGCAACAGATTTATTAAATATGGATATTTAAATACAAGCGTGTAAAGATGTGGGTGAACAAAACAGGGAGCTGCTTTCAGTGTAGCACTGAGAGTTTTACCCAGCAAGTCTTAGCTACTCAGTGTACACACACACTTACAGGCAGTCACGCGTCCAACTCATCAGACTCCTCTCTGATGTGCCTTTGAACATCCCACTGAACTGGGGCGTGGAAGGTGGGATTCATCTCGCCTGCCTTTAAACATCGGTATGTTCTCTTAAGTTAGGCCTCTAGGTTCCCTCCGTAATCACTGTCGAGAAACAGGCTCAAGCGTATCTTGCCTTCTGTCTATTTAGATACTATCAGTACAACTGGGAATAGTTCTGCGATCGAAGTAGTATGTAGGCCCTATACAGGCACTCTGAAGAGTGTAAAATCTGTCCTAAAAAAAGGTCTATGGTGTGTGTAACCTATTAACGAAAAAGTCAGCATGATTTCCTGTAAGGGAGACACCCTTACTGTCTCTTTCGCAAAACAGCATCTTCCAAAAAACCTGTCAGACTCCAGTGGATGGTGAACCGATGGAGGTATTCACTTATTGGGTACAAGAGGTTGCAAATTCTAAGATTTATAAGGTACAAAACTTGCCCAGGAAACTTTCAGATGTGCATGACAAACTGATTCACATGGTTAAACATCTGACTCTCAAAAGGTAAAGAGGATTTAGTAAAACAGTGAAGTATGGAAGCATAGTGTAGAACTTCAATATTTTGGCCCTGCATAACAAACTGTTGTTTGTAAATAGTCTGATTAGAGACGATGAAAGAAAAAAAGCATAAACAAACAAAATGCTTGCAATCGCACAATGGAGCTGTGTAGTGAAGAGAAATGCTTAATGGACAGAAAAACTAAATGCCTAATAATGGCAACCTCAATGAAATATGTCATTTACACGATATTCAAGCTCTTTTTTGAAGACCTAGGACTAGTCTGCATGCATAGGTCTTGCACTAATTCCATGCACATATGCACCCAATGTGACTACAACACTGTCCTCTCTGTTGGGTATCTTTACGAGTGCAGGTGTCTAACACACTAAAACCACACCTGCGGTCTCTTCCTCACAGAGTGAGATACAAAGAGTAGTAAATTATAACCTAAGAATGGTGATCCTGTTTGGGGACTGCAGGAGCTAAACCCAGGCCTTGGACTGCCCCACGCTTGTGGAATGGGTCCAGATATTCAGACAATCCCTTAGCAGTGTTAGCCTACTGTCTTAATGCTTCTCAAGCAGCCTTCTCCTTGTGTCTCGCCTGATTAAGGCTTTCCCACACAAATGGCCAGTAGCTGTGATTGTACACATCCATTTGAACCAGCTAAGCCCCTAAATTACATAAAGGATCAACCATACATTTCTTTACAATGTTACACTGACTAATAGTAATTTATCTCCCTGTGTAAAACAGAAAAATCCCACCCCATACAGATCCCCTCATTAGTCCAAAAGCCATGTACGAAGAACTACGATGCCAACGTGCAGCATTTTCTTTTACTTTAGCACCTGGAGTTGAAGAAAACTAAGGACTGAACCTTGCATCTTAGAGCAAGCTGCAAACTGCCAGGTACTCTGGAAAAAGCTTTCTGCCATTTTTACTGTGTTGATATTGCCAATACGCCAGAGGGGAAAACGTCCCAGTTAATCATTCTCAGTTTGCAAACGTGGCCTCGATCTTCCGTTTAAGAAAAGAGACAAGGCATTGCACAAGAGCTGGAACTTCATGAAACCTACATCCCCATTTTTCCAAGTTAATTTCCTTGGTTTTCCTTCATCTTTCTGTTTACTTTAATTTACATCATTTACTTTAACATAACCAATTATTTAGGTGTAATAGAACAAGATGTTATGAAAGAGCATATTCAGAAAAAGATGTTCAGACCCTCTGGTAACCATCAAAACACTTTTAAAGAAATTATGTAAAGTGATGTAACACAAAGCAGTCCCAACTCCTCCCACAGAAAAGTCCCTTGTTCCTAAAAGTCTTGGGAGGCTAAATTTCATTTTAGCATCTATCGATTTCATCAGTTTACTCTCAACTTGCTTCTAAATGCCTCCCGTACCTCTGCTGTAATGCCGGAATATTAAACACTCAGAATATGAGCTGAAGTTTAATTTTTCTACATCATACTGAATAATTCTTAAGAAAATATACCTGTCAGAGATGAACACTGTGAAATCTAGTACACTGCCCAGGTATTTTCCTCTCGTGTTTTAGAACTTCCCAGTAAGTACAGCAAAGGGGATTGAGTTTCTGGTTTGTATTTCACAAAGTTGCAGAAGGTACCTCTGAGACAGATTCCTTACTTGCATAAGTATTCTCCACCTTGAGCTCACTTCTCCTTTACCCACCCCACTGGAATATAAAACATACTTCTTTCAAATCAACAAAAGCTTACACATTTGGCAGTCCTCAGTTGCAATGTCATTGTCAAAGTTAATCCATTTTTAAAAACTACCCTTCTAAGGATAACTATATGATTGCTTGAAGGGATTGAGGTTAAAAGCAGTTAAAAAAAAAAAGGCAAATCATTTCCAGCACAAGCAAAGATGAAGGGCCCACTAGTGCTTCAGGAATTATAAGTCTCCTAAGTTGTAAAAGATGTCTTCACAAGAAGAGCAAAGAAACCCACATTTCTGATTGTGCAGTCTCTGCTAATAACGACCTGGCATATCAACCTGTATCATCCTGACTTTGTATGTGTGCCCTCAGTTTTATATGACTGTCAGTCAGATAAAGGACAGAACAACCCTTTATCGTAGGCTTCCTGAAATAATGCTTAAAGGAGAAAATTCTGACTAGATTGAAAAGAAATTTAAAAAAAAAAAAAGACACAGGTAAATTCAGCCAGATGGCCAAAAGGAGCTTAGGAAAGGCAACTGAAGAATGTCTAGTAAACAGCCGCAGTCCCTCAAAGACCAGATTTATCACTCCCCCAATTCTTCCCGTAGTTTTGGGGAATGGCCTATGGGGAAGGGTTGAAAGAGATACCGTAACCAGTCTTGTGTGAAAGCCCTATATCTCCGTTGCAACCATGGGCCCAGTCTGTTGACTTCTTTCCACGCCTGTGGCATCATAGATTAAAGAAAGTAATTCTAGCAACACATTCCCCACCAGTTCCAACTGTCCCAAAGATTTCTGCTGAGAAAATGAGGTCTCCACTGCAGCAGCAGTGTGAATTTTGGGCTCTGGTTATCTGTGTGCATGCCTATGTATGTATCTACCGATCTATTCCTCCCTCCCTCCCTCCTAGCAGCTCTTCCTCCATATGACCATTTTGAACAAGTCCCCACTAAGAGTGTCTCTGGTTTTGGGCAAAAGGCTACAAACTGCCATGTACAAACAACAGAAAAGACCTATGTGCTTGTGTATTGGGATGACAGCTCTCTTTCCTGTAATTAAAAATAAATAAGAGATCTTTTTAAGCAAAGGAATATTCAGCAGAACAGTTGATATCAAACAAAAAATGACACAACTTCAGCCAACTAAGTTGGTTGCTCTTCTGAGTGCTGTCAATGGCACAAGAATTAATTCTGCTAAATTATAGATCTGTGCTGCCATTTGACATGGCTTGAGAAGAATCTTGATTAAATTACGGCCTCCTACATTTCCAAGTTCTTCAGTTTGTCATGTCTAATTTAGTTTTAGAAAGCTGTGTGGACACATATTCCATTTAATATTTGAACTTAGCTTGAACAGTCAAATATATGTCTATCATATGACATCACATTAAATGGATGTTTTCTCTGTCCAGTATGAAAATACAAGCATTTAATGTAATATTCAATAAAATACAATTTGAAAGATTGAGGATCATACTGTTGATTTTATAAAAAGTAATTTGAGATGAGGATCTGAAATCATTCTTCCGTTCTCCTGTAACAATCTACCAACCTTTCCCAATTATAATATTTATCGTGTATGCAGCATTTTGATTAAGTTACTTTCTTTTATGGTCTATAAAAATAGATTGTGAAACTGAGACACACAGAGATTAAATGCCTGGAACTGATACGCTAATCCACATAATGTGTCAGTGACTGAGGCAGAGAAAGACCCAAAATACTACTTTAGGGGCCCAAAAGTATTAATAATAGAAATAATTTCTGCTACATTAAGGAAAATAAATATTACACTGCGAAGATGATTTTGACTGACATACTACCATATGTCAGGTTCTAAACAGATTAAAAACTCTTTAGATGTAATGCACAACAGTAGCTCCTAGGTAGCAGATGAGTGAAGACAGAATGATAAACAAATATAATCAGTCCTTTGCAAGACTAAACCAATTAGTTGAACATTATAACAATGTCAATAATCTTTGTGTGGCAGGTCTATTTTTTATTCAACACGATCTGTTGTAATACTGTGGGTCAAAGACTCAAGTAACCAAGTGCAATATCACTAACTCTAATGGAGTTTTAATATGCCTGGTCTGAAACTGCTGACTGGTTTATCCCTTATCAATCAAATCTGCTGAATCAATACACTTATGTTAGCTAAAAATCAGGTGTGTAAGCACTAAACATTTATTTGTTTGCTTTTCTTTCAGCAGACTAATTTTTTAAGAAATTGTTTTTGAAATTGTATTCCAAGATAATTATGCTTGTCTAAATATGGAGCAACATAATTTCCTGCAATAAAATCAATTCATATGTATGTTAGTATTAATAGGCAGTATTTTAGACCTCCAAGTCAATCCCAGCTACTGCTGAACACCAGTAGAAACACTGCTACGCATCTACTTCAGATGATCTTCAGAAAATGAAATGTCACTTACTTTTCGTTGCTTTACAGAATCCAATTTTACCAACCAATAGGATGCCACTTTTGTTTTATGATACTTCCAATTATCCATAATCTGTAGTCATTGCAAAACACAAGATAAAAGAAATACATATAAAACCAACTGAAATCTGGCATTTCATTTGTGAGCATTCCTAATGCTAAAAAGCGTGAGCATCTAAAAGACGTCTGTGAAAAGAACTTTTCTCTGAAAGAAAAATATTTGCAAGTTTATGTGGGGAAAGTTTGCAAAGATGTGTGCAATCTTCCAGTTTAATCCTACCCTCTTTCCCACCTGATTCTGACAGTCGTAGACTACAAAGCAGGTAGAAACTTGTCTTGACTGACTCAGCTCGGATTCCTTGAACTCAGCAATAAGTTCATTAATGCACAACTGTTAATCTATTTATATAGTGAAGGGTTTTGCTGCATAAAGGACATTAAACATACCTTGAAAACATCCTTTCCATAAATGATCATATATGAACTGCAATACTTGCCTTTTACGATGTCTAAGTGCTACCAAAATAGCTCGAGCTGTGAACATACAGTTTTATTTTAATTTTTTAATTTTATCTTTCTATTCTATTCCAGACCTATGGCAAGTTCTGCCTCACTGACAACTAATATATCATCACTTGTGTCCTTCCATGATGAAATATTGTTTCCCATCAGAAACTGCTTAAGGTCAGGCAAATTTATAAAAGAATTCTGCAGTAAGAAAATGCATTTATAACCATGCTAATGTATGAGAAAGCACCACTAGATGGAGTGTACACGCATACACACTCCCACACGTACACAAATGCACACACATTCTCACGGCTGAAAAAAAAATTTAATGAAGCACTTTATTTCTGATTCTAAGATGAGAAACTAAATATGCTAGTTATGAATGCTGTCTTCCAGAATCACCCAAATCAGCCATCATTACAGGTGTATTCCTTTCCACTATGATGTAGTTGCATAGATTACTAGAGACATAATCAACATTTTGAAAGCTCACAGAGCAAAGGACATTTCCAACAAGATAATGACTTCGATGAATTTTAACACATCGTGGACTGTGCTTACTACATCAGAATACAGGTGTTAATTTAAATTACTAGATCCCTCTGCATCTCTGCTAGACTGAGAAAAGAACTGCTATCCTTTTTTTTCTCTTTTCCAACTGATGTTCATTTCTTTGCACTAGATATTTAAAAGGGATTTAGACATCATGTATTTTCTGCTAATATTTCTGAATATTAGGTTTTGCTTTATAATTTCCCGTTAGATTGAGCATTGTTTCACAAGTTTTTGATACTAAATGATGAGGCTCAGGAAAACGCTGGATGTAAGAAAGGATAAGCTGGTAAACTAGAAGAGTCAAAAAGAGCGTGACTGCCATTGTTTATGACTAACAAGCTTCCAGTCTGCCTTGCAGTATGCCATGCTGAGTTCTCTCATACGCCTATTCAAGAGCAAGTTAAACATGTCAGGATCTGTACTAACAATATCAGATGAAATATAAACTGTTAATGAATTGTAATATTCTTCTGAGCCTACTTAAAAGTTTGAACTTTCTCCACAATGAAAAACTGAATTTTCCTAACCTTCCTGATTGCTTCTCATATATTTTATAAAGACATAGCAATGTTCTCAGTGCTGCTCTTTTAAGGTCAGAAAGTATGCAAAGCTCCAAGCTTTTGAAATCTTTTGAATTACACTGAGTTATGGAAGTTTTAAGGCCACAGGAGCTCATGAATCATAAATCAAGCTTTCTACTTCCCTTTATTTTAGTGGCCAAAACAATGTCTAGCCTGTAATTATTCTTTCTTATTTATAGATACTTACATCTTCTATAATTAATTCTGATTCTTCATCTGTTTTACCTGGGAACTTCATTCTCATGTCATTGATAATGAGAAGAGTTTCTTTTGTCAAAGCAACTTCTTGCTCTTTTGTTTTCTGCTGCAGCAAAGACTCACTCTAAAAATCAATATGAAGAGAGGAAAAATTTCAGGCATGTCATTAGAACACATTACAAAGATGTTTCCTTGATAAAAATAAATTCTAAATAGGGCAACATAAAATACAGTATTAAAATGGATAGATGTAATATCTAACATAATTAATATAGACACGTCTCATACACTAATGCATCACTATTACTTCTAGTTATCAAGAAATTCAAGAAAAACAGTTCAAATCTAATTTTGTTGGAAATAGAATAAACAAATAAGTATTCGATATTTATGATGCCCACCATTTAAAATACAAATTTGAAATTTAGATAACAGACTTTCAATCTAAATTCAATACAATGGAAAGAAATTCTTTGTCATAAAAAAACTTCCTTTCAGTTCTTCACTGCAACAATTTAACAGAATCTGCCAATTTTATACAACATTGTGCCAAGAATTCAGGAAGCATTAACAAGTAAGGACAATTTGCTCCCACCCTGGTCATTCGGAGTTCTGACAGTGTCTTCGGTCGTCCAGAATTTTGTTTAAAATATCAATGTTTTTTATACCAACGCCAACCTGAAGCCCTACAGTGTCTGCATAAGACCAAAGGGGCTTGGCGCTTTCTTTAAATCTCAGACACTAGTTAGAAGTATTTCTGATCCTCTTTCTTTACTTTTGCATACTTTTGTGTTTGCAAGATTACATGGGCTTAATTTATACATTTTTTCTAGAGTGGAGTGCAAAATTTTTAGGCATTTCTAAATGTGTGTATTTTTTAAGAACTACAATACCTACTTAAGGATATTTTTGCTTAAGGAAGTGACAAATATTTTCAAGCATAACAAAAATATTTTGCTGTATGATATACAATAACGTGGCTGAAATAAGATAGCAAATATTTCCAAATCCATTTTTGTTTCTAACTGCTATAAACATGTGCCTGCAATTCCCAACAGTAAATGGTTTCTTCTAAACTTAGTTCCATACCTTTAGTAGATTTGGATCTCAGCAGCCTCCAAAAACAGCAATATACTGCTCTTTTCTTGCCCAAAGGATAGATAAACTAATACTTTATTACACATAAATGGTTTCTTCTTAGTAAGTTACAGTTCATCAATTTTAATTTTATTCTAGCAGTAATATATAGCATATTATTCTTCGTTGCAAAAATTATTATGAACAGAGTTCCATTCACAATACAGTGCTAAATTATGAGTGGTTCTTATCCATTCTGTAAGTAATTTTATTCACATTATTTTAAGAAGTATGACCTAAGCTCTATCACCCAACATAATTGTTCTGCATATCAAGATCATTTCTGTGGTGGAGCTTTCTCAATGAAAAAGAGAGTATTGCTTCTTACTAATGTTAATTTGAGTAGCCCATTTTTAATGTCAGATGGCAAGAGACTGTTTCTAATCTTTCAGTAATTTGTATTTGATACAGAGTTAATGTGAACAGAAAAATCTATATTAGCCCTGTCTCATTAAACTCTCAGAGTACATCTTGATGATAAAAGGGAACTTTCAAAACTTGAGATAGCTAATGTGATAAAAAATACCTTTAACACGTTGTGGTGAAGACACCATCTTAATGTCTTTCCAATTCTATTAGCTGACTTTAAAGATGGAAAACCGTGTTAAGGAGTATTTCACAAGATGTCAACAATTTTAAAAGGATCCTTTTTCATCATTTAGACAAAGCCTCACAGGCAAAACAGACAATGAGCGCTCTACCGGATAAAAATTATGATTAGAGATAGTAAATACTATGAAGCAAGTGAATTAGCATTACAAAAGGATTTCTCACAATCAAAGCTCACCACAATAGAGAAGGGCTGCAAATATGGATTCATAGTGCCAATTTGTTTTGCCCCATCTCCAGATTAATTATTTGGGTGATGAAAGATGCAGGTCAGGCACCAAAGCCTGAACAGAAATGCACTGCCAGCAACACCCAGTACAATACTGAATGATGCTGGGGACTGATCCCAGTAAACCCTGCCTAGGGATAAGCGGCTATGTGGTCCACCATGCAAACAAAAAAGGAGGCAAGCTACCAAAGAGGATGACAGTCTGGTCACAAAAGGAAAAAGTGTATGGTTCAGAAGGACATTGTGAAATTACAACTAACCACACAAATTCTAAACAGCCAGAAGTCTTTAATCTGATCTATTTATTCTAATAATTATTTAGTTAGACCACCTGAGTCCAAATGCTTGTCTGTCTCGGGGACAGGCTTCAAAATGAAAGAAGTTTTATCTTTACTTTAAAAAAAAAAGATGGCTTCCAAGACCTTTATTGCAGTGGCAAATCCTAAAGATGACAAGAACAACCTATAAATTTGTTCACTTTGGAAGTAGAGCTCTACTGCAGTGATAAAGTATATGCGAATTAGGTACAGTAGGTTGAAAATTATTTACACCACCTTCTACAATCTACACCCACACAAAGTCTTACTAATGTTATTTTCCAGTACAATGTATTTACCCTTGGAGTATACAGTGGTTTTGAAACATTGATGTATTTACCGTGGTTTTGAAATATTGATGTATTTTTGTTACTGTAAAGATTTTGAAAGTAGGTACATCCTTATTTCAGAACCCGCCGTCCTCAAACAGATCACAGAAACTTTTTAGGAGAGGTAAAAACTAATTTCTGTCTTCAAAAAGCTATATAAGAGAGCAGGTTTCCCAGTCACAAAAACTCTAAGATGTCCATTCTCACAAAATGTGACATCTGTATTGCTGCACCAGGAAGACTGAAACCTCAAAGCTAGCACTCACAGTGAGCCATATGCAGGTCTAGAGAGCTTACATTCCTGAGTTTCTGTCAAAATAGCATTGGCTATAGTACTTCAGGTTTTCTGACACTGTAAAAATTAGTAATGCTTTTATTGAGTTTTAGAGAAATGGAATGTATTTTGAATGCAACTGCTGTGTTAACTCACCCCTGAAGAGTTCATAGTTCCCAAGCTGGGTGTCTGAGAGACTCTGGCTGAAGATGGGCTGCGATTTAAAGAATGAGACCTATTCACTGAGGATGCACGCTGGATTTGCAGAGATGCTTTGGCTGAAATGGGACGTTGCTCAGCTGCCTGTGACTGCATAGTCAATATTGATATTGAACGAGGGCAGCTTACAGAACGCCTTATTGGACCTGTGGATGATGTGGGGGACGAATATGATGGAGATTTAATATTTTTAATCGAAGGTTTCCAGTTCATTCTACCTGCAGACAAATTAAATGAATGATGCAATCACTTATTATTCTGTTAACGCCCATTTTTCAGTCTCTGTAACTAACAACAGATTTGACCAACATGTGTGCACATATGTTGTACCATAACGTATGTTCACTGACAACTATATACATAGCAGTCAGCCATGTCAGATCCCCTAATAATACATGCTTTATATACTCTCTGAGAACATTTATTTCTTCCTTATCATCCGCTTTAATCAGGTAGACTCCAGTCCTCTATAACGTGCATCATATTTATGACAGAGTGCATATGCCTTACAGATCAAAAAGTATGTGGCTACTGTGTGTGGCTTCCTGACTGTAAAAATATGGAAGGAGGAAAGAAAATTTGGTTGATGGATCCCATATTTGCAGGTCCGGTCTCCCTCATCTGCTCCTGCACAGCTGTACAGTTTTTTAATTCAGTCTTCTGCTAAACAATGCTTCACACCATCTAGAGGGATCTTGACAGGCTTTAGAGGTGGGCCTGTGCAAACCTCATGAAGTTCAACACAGCCAAGTGCAAGGTCCTGCACATGGATCGGGACAATCCCAAGCACAAATACAGGCTGGGCGGAGAATGGATTGAGAGAAGCCCTGAGAAGGACTTGGGAGTGCTAGTTGACGAGAAGCTCCACATGACCCGGCCCAGAAGGCCAACCATATCTTGGGCTGCATCAAAAGCAGCATGGCTAGCAGGTCGAGGGAGGGGATTCTGCCCCTCTGCTCCACTCTGGTGAGACCGCAGCTGGAGTCCTGCGTCCAGCTCCGAAGCCCTCAGCACAGGAAAGACACGGACTTGTTGGAGCGGGGCCAGAGGAGGCCACAAAAGTGATCAGAGGGGTGGAACCTCTCCTACCAGGAAAGGCTGAGAGAGTTGGGGCTGTTCAGCCTAAAGAAGAGAGGCATCAGTGAGACTTTACAGCAGCCTTCCAGTCCTGGAGGCCTACAAGCAAGCCGGAGAGGGATTTTTGACAAGGGCATGTAGGGACGGGACAAGGGGTAATGGCTTTAAACTAAAAAAGAGTGGATTTAGACTGGAAATAAGGAAGAAATTTTTCACAATGACTGTGGTGAGGCACTGGCACAGGCTGTTCAGAAAAGCTGTGGCTTCCCCATCCCTGGCAGTGTTCAAGGCCAGGTTGGATGGGGCTTTGAGCAACCTGGTCTGGTGGTAGGTGTCCTTGTCCATGGCAGGGGGGTTGGAACTAGCTGGTCTTTAAGGGCCCTTCCAGCCCAAACCTTTCTATAATTCTATGATAAAGGATGCTGCTACGAAAAATAGAAGTTTAGAAGCAGCGTTATGTGTGTTGAATTACATGTAATTTTTTGAGTCAACACACCACTAAAACAAAAAAAATAACGTTCTATACCTACCATGTTCAACAGAAAATGCCCACACTAATGCTCTGCAGCAAGTAAGAAAACAATCACCAAAAAAAAAAAAATCTGTGGAGGGATCTCATCTGGAATATATTACCTTCTGTAAGCTTCCAGACACATTTCTTTATTCTTTCTATAGTCAAGCTTAATAAGACTATCTTTAACAGCAAAAAAAAATAACAATCTGCTCAAAAAAGTCTAAGAGCAAAGAGAAACATTTGCACCACTTCCAAGTGTAGCCCAGGTGTATTTTTCTCTTTAGCATTCTTGGCAAAAGAATATTCTTTTTTTCCTTTTCTTAAAATTCCTTTTCATAAATTTATAAAAGATTTTAAAGAAGACAGAACAAGCAAACCAGTGCTTAATCCTGAAGCATTTTATATAGTTCATCGTGAAAGCTAGATTCGCTTGGAAAAGTGATCATTTAACTTACCTGATCGTTCCAAAGATTTGTATTTCTTTTCTTCAAGATCATACAAAACCTTTTTCTCTTTTTTTTCATTGTGATCTTCCTTTTCAGTTTCTTCTCCCGATTCTGACATACTGCTACCACTATCACAGCTAGTATCACTATTGTAGTTCTTAAGTTTTCTTAAGGGCTGTGCACTTTCTGGCATTGAACACAAGGGCTAAAGCAAAATAAAAAAAAAAAAAAAAAGGAAAAAAACAGAACTGAATTCTTTCACAATCTGAAATGTACACGTTACCATCACACCAGGTCCCTGATCCAGGCAGGTTCATTTGTACAAATTTAAACCCTCCCCAATTAAATCAGAAGTTTGTCCTTGGTTTTACAATAAGTGCTTAAATGTTTCATTAAAATCACTACACAGTAATTCTAATCTTTCTTACATGAAGAGTAGCATAATATAGTAAGGGGGAAAAAACATTAAGTATGACTTATACTACCAGACACATTGAATTATAGTTTGAAATCATAAATCAAGTGATACAGAATACCATTTACAACCAGTTTCAGTCCCTCACTGGTATTTGCAATAACTGAAGCTATGGTTTAACAGTGATCAAGATGAAGTAAAGAAATACATCAGGAAACTTTGGCTGGTACACCTCTGAAAAAGAAAGTGATTCATCCATATCCTGCAGAAAGAAACTGGAAGAATATAGCAAGCTATACTAAGTGTATTTGGTGTCCCCTATGCGCATGGGATTCAGTGTCATTAGGTAATTAATCTTGTGCTATTACTAAGAATACTGTGAGACAAAAATCAAAAAGCAGGAGACAGAGAAATTGATGCAAGAACAGAAACCACAAATGAAAATTTTTCTTCTTCCACCTACCATCAGGCAGACAAGAAAAATGCAATATCCTCCGTTATATCTATTATCCGAAGAAGGCTCATGTGGTCACTCTTTTTAGCTACGCATTTTCTTTCCAGTAACTCTCAACTATAAGATGCTATGGTGATGGCCTCATCTTCCTAGTCATCTAATGGACTGCAGTTAAAACTCAGATTTAAAAAAATTAATATTTCTGAACATATTTTGGGTCAGAGTGAAACAGAAGAATTCTCACAATGAATTGCCTTGTTATCTTAGCATAATGTAACGCACCAAGATTTATTGCGAAGGGATAGAAAAAAGTCCCAAAGATACTGTTCCTGCAAGATACGCTTTTTAACTAACACATGCTACCTAAACTTCTATTCCAGCCAAGGAAGGAAAGAGAGCTCTGCCACTAACTTAAAAGCACCGGTATGTTTCTGCAAGCCCAAGCTGTTACATCAGATCAGGAAGAGTTGAAGAAAAACATTCAATTGGGAAGAGCCCTGGCAATTGTTAATTATACAAAGAATATTTTGGTATCTATCTACCTGCCAAAAGGACAAATTAAGGTGCCTCAACACTTACGGCTTTCTCAGAAATAGCTGTCCTAATCATGAAATGCTGTGTATCATAAAGATATATTGATAAGACATTCCTGATGAGTTATACAAGGTATAATAAACATTTTCAATCAAAACTCACAGGGGCTTTAAGGTCGATCTCATTCCCACTTACATGCATGTTTCTCACACATTCTACACTAACAATAACAACATCCTGACCAAGCCTTCACATCAATTAACGAAGAAGAATAAAAAGAATGGTCAAAGAAATTACAAAAAGCAATAATGACAGATAATAGCTAGATCTGGGTTTAAACTGACCTCTTAAAATATTTGATTGCTTAGCAATTCTAATCACCTTGATTTTCCCCTTATGCTAACCTGATTTTTCTTTGATTAAACTCATCTGATTTTATATCAGAAGAATAAAAGTAATTGCTCATTTCCTCTATCTGTTATTTTATTTCCTTCGTTCTTTTTCCTGCACAAACAGCTGCAATGTAATAAACATGAGTAAACCTCACAATGTGTAAGGGTAAGGTGCCCTCTAGAGGCTACAAATAAGCCAGACATTTCCAGAATAATCAATCCAAGCAGAATTCAGTAATATTTTAACTGCAGGCAAAAACGCCCTCATTCTGGGAAATTTTTGACTTGTTTTCTACTCTGAGCTCCTAATCATGTTCAAATAAAAATAAGGCTGAAATTCCTAGCAAATATGGTATAGTTGTTACATGCAAAGCTTATTTATACAGACACTCCTGTACAGAGGATATGTACATATCCTCAGTTATGTGTAGATGTATGTATAAATGTATATGTATATACATGCTTCTATGTACGCATAAGGATGAGGAGTAAAACACTGCTCTCTCCTAACTATTCCAGCTGTTCTGTATAGTTTTCCGAGTCCTGACTGTTCCTTTTTCCAAGGAAGAGAGCGTGCCCAAGGCAGAGCATCTGACCTCCTAACAGTAGCTTCTGTCAGCAGGCCAGCCACTGACTTTTAAGGGAGGACAGGACTTTATGACCTTCTGAAAGAACCTTTCATGCTGGGTAATATGACGTGAAAAGTACTTTTCCCGCAGGTTTGTTTTGTCTATTAGATCTTGCATATGTTACTTTTTTATATGCTAATGGATCTTTATTTGTAGGATTTTATGATTGCAGTAAGTTTTACAACTGGATTATTCTCTTACTGGTAGTTTCACAGGCAGCAGTAAGTTCTACAGCCTACCTCACTCACCAGATTTCTATACAGATACATATTTAGATACCACGTATCTCATAGCAGACCCTTTACAAAGAGGTGGCCAATCAAACACATATTATTAGCCATATGCACCTTACCCCTTACAGGAAAGAGGTGATGCTCTTTTGCTACAAGATACAAGGACCATCTGGAATGGGCATCTGTATTTCAAAGGGAGTGCACAGGATAATGTGTAACCAGAGAAGTCTCTGGTCACTTGGCTTCACTGTAGACATGGTTTAAATCATTGAGAAATATATCAAGACCCTAAAAAAGATGCAGGAATAGAGATCCTGTGCAGCAGAAAGTGTGCATGCTGCAAGGAAAAGAAACTATCTCCTTGGATATGATAGTTTCATTGACTTCCCTTTTGATTTCATCAATTTTATGGACAAGAAAAAAGTGGTAATTCTGGTCATACACAATTTTTCCTTTCTACTGAAAGTGCAAACAGTATTGTACTGGTAGAGCAGCTTGTAAACTATGGAATCCATTTGCCTACCATAAAAAGAAGACCATGTCATATAGTCTCACTCATAAATTGATCAAAATTCATCTTGAAACTAATTAAGAGAGGTTTCTCAGTTTGGGCTCAGTACCCTATGAAATGTTTATGGCCTCCAGCCTGGGAATGGCTTGTGTGCAACCAGTGTAGAGATAGCATAGATCAAGCCCATGTGCATACAGTCAGCCAGACAGATACATGCTCTCTGAGGGGTGCTGGGAAAAGACAGGCTTCCGGAAAAAGGAAAAACATGTCTGAGATGTGTAACTTGAATTAAGTGACCCTATGTTAAAGAACTGAAAACAAAACCTCAAGGAAAAGAATCCCTGAAGAATGTGAGTTGAGTGTGTTGCCAGGGTGGACTGGATTTTTATTTTGTCTTCTTTAAATGAATCGCCACTGTTGAAGCACCAGCTCACAAAATCCCCATATTTGTAATGAGGTTCCTGCAAATCTATCTTAATACCAGATTGGGTATGCAGATCCTCTTTCCAGCATGCACACCTGTAATAAGATGTAGCTCTTTGGATTCTTGCACATATATAAAATATCCCTGCAAGCTCAGGACAATTGCCAGCATTCATTTTGTACAGAAATTCCCAGATTTGTACATCGTGTTCTCAGAAACATAAAATGCTGTAAAAAAAAATTTACATGCATCCACAAACAAATCCATCAGAGCTCAGGAACATGAGTGTAGGCTCTTCTGAGCAGACTTGATCTAAAACATTTGCAAGATGTAAGAAACATACTTATTTTAACTAAGCCCAAACTATTTATCTTTACTGGCTTACAGAGATATGTGGTGTATTTAAGGCAAAGACTTGCATGAACTATGTACCTAACCAGAAAGCATTAAGCTAAAAATAATTTACATTCACTCTAAAAGCAGACTTTGGATATGACACAGGCTCCAAGATATACTGTACAACCCTTTCAGCAAATAAGTAAGCTACAGATACATCATAATCATAATTAATCCTTCAAGCTTCCATAGTGGCTTTTATCCCATGATCTCAAAACTCCTTACTGGCACTAATTGATTAAAGATGAAAGCATTCTTTTGAGATAGGCTAAGGATATAAAAATCATTTCATACACCGAAATCAAGCAACCTCTTGTACAACAGTTGTTGCCATGCACAACAATTCCTCAAAATAGCTTAGAGAAGAAATTAAGGATCTCATATCCAGCTAAAGTTTTAATGGGATTTAGTTGGACAAATGGTAGTTATGCTTTTCTTCATACTTCAAAAAGAACAGGCTAATGGAAGTCTGAGGAAGAAAACTTCCACCAGGATCAGCTAACTAAACTCCCCACTTAAAATTATGAGATTACTTCTCTACAGAGTGAAATAAAAAATTGGTATCCAAAAGTCAAATACCTTAGGTCCTCGCTGCCTGGTGCATTTTCCCATTAGTTTTTCATCATCTATTTCACACTGTTCCAGAAGATCCAAAATGTCCTCTTCCTAGAAATGGGAGTTTTGGTATAATTAACTCAAAGCAGGACATACCCTATCCTTTCAAAGTTCAAGCAGTAATTGGTAGGAATTTGAAATTACTTTGATTACTAATTCCTGAAATAAGACTATGAATTCCTCCACAAGAGGATATAGAAGTATTTCTTCTGATGCATGCATCTCTGCTTGCAGTCAATATGAAATTGAAAGTTAAAATCAAGTCTTAACATATGTTAAAGATAAAAATCTGAAGAAAGGGTTGAACAAAGATTGCTGTAAAACTGCTGGATGATGCCAACTACAAAGATTGGAAACTATTTCTCAGATTTCAAATTAAATCACGTTAGTTGGTTATTTTAAATATAGCCTTTTTCCTACTGTTTATTTCTGACTACATAAGTAGGCAATCAGGCAGAGTTTCTGGATGCCTTAAACTAGTGGAGCTGGTTTTATGATATCTCTTGTTCTAGTCCATACAAGTGGATGAACAGGCTGCGGACATTACTAGAGGAAGGGGGAGGCAATTACCAGCTCAAAAGCAGTTTCTGCCAACCTCTGGTTTGGTCAGGGGTAAGACTGAGGATGAGGGAAATGATAAAGTAGCTTAAAGCCATCTAGCCTGTCTCCACCCTGGGCCCACTGCAGTTCATCCAGATTCAAGCATCTGGCCCACAAGCTGCACAAAGAATAATAATAAAATGACGGAAACATTATCAAATGCTATTTATTAGCCATTACACATGATTATCATGAAACTAATCCACAAGGTCATGAATTCCAAGATAAATAACTCCTAAAGCCAATACTTCTTGTGCTTCAGTACCTTCATTTTTTTTAAAGGGTTATTCATTTCCCGCTGAAGTGAAGCTGCTCTCCCAGCAAGAAATGTCTGGAAAGCAGTAGCTAACAAACTCTCATACTTTTCAAGTAATGTCTTATCATCAGGAGGGTAAATTCGCCTAAAATCGGAAAAAAAAAAAAAAAGAGTTTAAGATAGAAGCTGAGCTACTATCACACTAGGAAGAAAAGTAATGCAGCTAATTCACAGTCTCTTCTAAAATGCATGTGCATGCCATCTGTAATAATTATATAATATCATATTATAAAACATATACTCTGAACATCGTTCTCTAAATCTAATTTTAACCCAGTGAACACATTCATGTTTAAACCAGCAATTAGCCAGTCAAAAGAAACACCATACAGGTCATTCCAGAGATACACCAAAACTCAGTCTTGCAGTACTCTGAAATTTCAGTGGGTGTGAATGATGCACACAGACATGAATGATTCATGAAATACTAACAAAATATTTCATGTAAAATTCAGAGCCACAAAATATTTTGTGGTAGCAATAAAAGGACACAAAGCAGTGAAAATCTGAACAATTGCTTGGAGTTAATGGGCATGATGTGAATTAAAGACCTCAGTGCTAAATCCTCCAAAACAATGAACAGGAAGAAATAGATACAATAAGAAAAAAAAAAAACTGCTGGTACACAGATGTTCAGGGTGACTCTGATTTTCCATTAGAGCAGCTATCCCGTTATTCTCTAAAATCACAGGTAAGGAGACTATGACAATATGAGAAGCCAGACTTGGTGATAAATTCATGCTCATCAAGCAACAACGGCCTTTGAAGAAAACCACTCCTATCCATTTGTCATGAATGCCTGAAACACACCCAGAAAGGATGAAGGTAGGAGACTAATTTCTAATGTACTGCAAGGAGTAATCCATAAGTTCATTCTGCCTGCACTGTGCAAAGCATAGGTACCATTTATATATTGACTGGCATTATGTGACTTCTGTGTTTTTGTGGATCTTTTGTGAACTTTTTACAAGGTTCTTTCTCCTTCTTCCCTTTCAGGCTTTTCCTCCTTGAAAAGGTATCTTCCATGATGATTTTGTTGCCAAGAAAAAAGGGTGGTTATGATCCCATTAGACTCAATGAAGTTCTAGAGCAAAGTGAAGATGGTTCCAGTTTGCATTAAACACCTGTAGGAGCTCTAATCCAGTTGCAGTCAACCCTTTTTAGTGGTGTTGATTCTACTGCTGAAAATGTGCCATAGAACAATACTTTAAAGAAAGGATATCTGTTTTAATATATGTAGATTTCTACACTGCAGCTAAAGGCCATTTCAAAGTCATATACATCCTTTTTAGTTCCTCATGAATTCACAAATGCTCGAAAGCATTGCTCCTACCCTGACCACCCCTGGACTCCCACTGGAATCAGCGGGCTCATCGTGCTTGCAGACAGACACTTGACTAAGCCATTGCTGAACTGACATCCATAGATTAAATCAAAGCCTGCTGAGGCTGATTGAGGCTTCTCTGGATATTTATTCAGAAAGCAATATTAACCCATGCAGCAATCCTAGCATCCAAAACTTCCATGATTCTATGGCAATGCCTGACAGAAGCTAGTCCTGCTCTACAGGAGAGCATCACAAGGAGAAAATACTGCTTAATGCTCAGATAAAATTTCTCTGCACATCTAGACAAGATTCCTTTACTTCTCAGGCCCTGCCGACTCTTCAGCCTTTCTGCAAACACATGGTAATAAGAAAACACAAAGCTGTTCTGCCCTTTTACACATGCACATTCCTCATGAAATGACACTTCACTTCTTCCTGAGAAAAAAAAAAATCATATTTCTATAGATTTACATTAATCAAAAAGCTAAATACAGAGAACATTTGGTTCATTTTCAATCAAGAACTGAATAAGCAACCTAAAATGTGATCAGCTAAAAAGTCAGACTTTAAAGTTATCGAAGAAACAAAATGTATTAAAGCATCATGATGTTGCTCTTTCTTATAGGCTAAGTAGCATGAAAATAACCACCTGATTGTGCGGTTCTTTTGATGTACTAGTTCAGCTCCACATATGTCAAGAAAGGATGTAATTAAAACTGGGAATGTAACAAAGAAAGACTTTTTGTAAGCAAAATGTTAATTCATCAAAAATAAAAATATCAAAGAAACACCCATCTCTTTACATGAGAACTTCACTTGGAATTATAGAATGTCTGCTCAAAAAAGCAGAGATAAAGAACAGTAGTAAATTCAGAATAAAAGACGTGAACTCAGACCTCCAATGTCCTGAATTAATATTATAAAAGTGGGCAAATGCTCCCATCATCCCTTCCTAGCCGTACTCTGCTCTCTTTTGCCAAATATTCACAGGCCTTGCTTTCACTTCTCATTGAAGCAAATATCAAGAAATAATAATGAAAACATCATAAAACAAAATTCTTGTTTTCTGGCCAATGCCTATTATAACCATCAAGTTAGAGCTTCCTTTTGAACGTTTTGTACCACGGAATCTGAAGATACTTACATTTAAGCCTACCAAGATCCAAAATCAAAGTGCAAAAATATGAATATAGTATTCCAAACGTCATTCTATCAACAATGATGGAAGAAACAATGAAGCTTCTGAACTTTTGGCAAACCTCATAGATAACATTCAGATTTGATGTTTTATAGGGGAATACTCACACCCCTATATTGCCCCCCTCTAGAGATAAAAATTATCATATGTGATTATAATACAGGTCCATAATGACACTCATGGTTCTTGGTACACTGAATGTGAGCAATCATGTCTTTCAAGCAAATGTCTTGCACAAAATTAGAGTGACTGATGTCATATAAATGCCTCAGTGCATGAAAAAATTTGGAATCAAAAAAAGAACTATCTGAAAAAAAAAAAAACTTTACTACATGCTGTACATGTATATATTTTCTACAAATGCTTACATATTTTTGGCAGAAAATTATCATCTACCACAAATACTTGTTTCTATTATTCCTAAAAAATGCATTGACTGCTTCCTACTAGTACAGTCAAAAATAGTTACCTGTAGTTCCCCATGTGTCTATTTTCATGCTCCTCTTTGGAAATCTGTTTACGTACTTGTGCAAGTCTTTCCTTCTACAAATTAAGAAAATAAGACAATTAAAACAAAGAAAGAGTAAGCCATAGGCTAGAAACAGCACATTTCTTCCTTCCTACCAGTTCTTCTTTTCTCCTTTCCAGTGTGTGGCGCTGCTTCTCACAGTCTGAGGACCCTGGCAAGAGTTTTTTCATTGAACCTTGACCATAGAGTCTTTTTTGAGCCTCGGCCTTCTGTTGAGCTAAATTTCTCCGTTTGTCACTTGTCCTGAAACACCAACCATATTAAGATATGACAATCCACTGCAGCCAAGATGAGATGCACTTTTATCGCAAGTACACCATCTGTATTTTCCAGTCAGTGATAGGTAGTTTATGATACAAAATTAGAACTGAAACACTCATTAAGATTTTTTTTATATATATTAACTTTCATGGCTACAATATTTTCACACTTTAAGGTGTACTGTAAGGACTCTGTACTATAATTTAATGTACAAACACGGCCATAGATTTTTTCCAACACATCACAACTACAAAGTTTTCCTGTAGAGGAGTATGGCTTTTGACTGTATGTGAAACTATCACCAAAGCATATTTCCTGTGTGGCCACAAGCCCATGACTGCACTCATATCCCCACTTCGAGACCTGTTCGAAAAATCATTTTATTAAAAAAAAAACAAGTATGAAAATTACTATTACTACTCTTTTTTTGCAAGCACATGAGTAAGAAGAAAAAATAAATTTGGGTTCATTTCAACAGCAAAACTGACAGCACGGGAAACATTTATATTTTGAAAATGTGAAGATGGAACAAAAGGTCTTCATGTTCTCCTAGTCAATTAAAAAAAAAAAAAAAAAGAAAAGAAATCAGAGCAACAGAAAGAGAGCTAGACTGAAGAAAAGAGGACAAGTTTACCGTATGTTGAGAAGCTTTAATGCATTTAGCAGAACGCCTTTTTTTACATCATAGTCTATTTTTTGATCAGTTCCAAAGCTTGGGGCACGATTAATCTGAAAAAAAAGAGATACAGAAGACTCAGGAATGTTCAGCTCACTGGGAACACATCTATTGGAACAGGCTTTGGAGAAACCATTCTTTCAAATATAGCAGAGATTAATAGAATACATGTTAAGAAGCTCCTTTCCGTTTGTACTTTTTAAAAAACCAGAGCATTGAGTATCACAGATACTGGGAACCAGAAGATGCACCTTTCAGCCACCAAGTTATCCAGACACTTACAATGAACACCATTCAAGTACTGACACTGGGAATCCAATCTAATCTCGTCTTGGTTGCTGCAACCAGAAAATTCACCATGCAAAGTGCTGCTAAACACATTAGAACAGACTGTGCCATGCTACGGTAGTCCAGTACAGGAAGAATTAAACTCTTTTCTAATTCCCAGTCTGAAAGCAACTTTGAACACTTCTCTAAAAAGTAACTACTATAAGGACAGCAATAGGCTCTAATTCAAGGTCTTCTCAAGTACATTTAAATAACTATTCAGATACACTTTACAGCAACACCTAGAGATCTGAGTTATTAAACTAGCACATTGTGTGAAAACACAAAATAATTAACAGTCTCAGTAACAAAAAGCTTATAAGCTGAGTAAAAGAGAAGAGATTAAAAATGTTACCATATAGAGGAACAAGAGAAATGCAATTGGGAATCAGAGAGACTAAATCACACACTTAAGAGCCAGGAGTCTCAACCAACCACCATACAACCACTGCCAAGCATCGGAGGCCCTGCAGAAGAACTTCAGCTTTCAGAAAGCTTTGAGAAAGGATAATGAAGCAGCTGCGTCAACATTTCCAGGAACACCTTTCACGCTGATATAAAAATTTATATGTGAGCGATGAGTTCTAATCAGAGGCAAGAATCTCACCTTGATAGGGAATGAGCAGCGCTGGTTAGAGAGGGACGGATCCTAAAGAGCTTCAGAACTGAAAACTAATATCTTGTGCCCCAGGCAAATCAGAAGTGGGATACAGTTAGTATGTTCAAAGCAGAGGGCAAAAGTTGTGCATTAAAATCATGTTTTAATGCTTTAGATGCATCAGAGCATTGTAGAGCCTCTACAGCTACGGGACAGAACTGTTCTGGCTGGTGAGCCACCAGCTGTCCTGTTGCTGAGTCCCAGCTCCCCCATCACTTATGCAGAGAGCCAAAGGGTACCTTTTGGCTTTGGGACTGAGCTGGTCTGCTGGTTTTGCAGGCAGGCTGACAAAGTGAGCAATGAGATTTGACATTGAAACAGAAAGCACGAAAATTTAGGGGAAATAGTGAAAAAGCGCGTACTTCTTTTCTGGATGACTTTCACCCAAATATTTAATTCACCAACCTCCTTAGACTGACCTGTTCATCTCCTATCACATTACAAAGGCTATTTTTTTTTCTATATTGTGTTAGCTCAAACATTTCTTGATATTCATTTTTTTAAAAAATATGAACATTCCACTTTCAGCTAAGCCAACGTAAGCATTCAGAGAAAGGAACACAAGGATTAAAATCCAGTTCTCCAACATTTCATTAGAGAATACTGGAAGCTGACAAGACCACAGACACATTGCATCTCATTTTTAATGTGAAATTTAAGCAAAATGCTAACTAGAGCTGCAATTATTATATAAAGCTGACAACTGAACTAAGTTGGAAATATTCTGATTTTGAGATATCATATTGTCTAATGCAGGCAGGCTTTATGAATGTTTAAAAACATATGCATGAAGATCCAACATAGAGCCTTATGCTTCAGTCCAGCAAATACCCAAATACACAAAAAGTTCACTGGAATGAAAAAAGACAAAAAATCAAGCCCCAACTCCTTATTCAGGAGAAATGTTAGATATTGAACAAAAGTATATTCTGTACCTTGTATTGAATTTTTCTACTCCGTATGAACATGTAGCAACTAAAAATATTCTACTTCGAAATAATATTTTTGCATGCACTAAAAACATGTGAACAGATAGAAATATATTTATTAAAGCTTCCAACAAAATAATATCTAATTTTTTATGTACACCAAATCCTTAAATCCAGTGAGACTGCAGTTAGATATGAGGACTTAATTGAATATGTAAAATGCTATGTTGGTCCAATACTGAATTCCTAGAGATGCAAAGACACACGCTTACACAGCACTGAAACATCCAACTTGATAGCATACTAAAGTGCACACTGTTGTATTTAGATTTGGTTTAGGTACTTGCTAGATTTACAACAACTCGAAGTGTATAGTATTGGGCATAAATTCTACATTGATAAAAACATTATAAATATGTGTTACTTATACGAGCACCAGTGAGAATTAACACTATGAAAAGTGTAAAATAATTTAAATAACAGTTTCTCTCCTACAGGGTGTATTTTGCCAAAAATCTGCATCTGGTACTTCTGAACAAACAAAACCATACTGACTGTGTTTATAAAGCAGCAAATTAAAGTGGGGTTAGGAAATATGTAAGAAGGCATTTGAAATGCTGTTATGAGACATTACACAATCACTCCACACTAAGGTTTCTATCACTTTAATGCAGTCATTTAAGCGGCTGAAAAGCTACAGCAATCATAGTTAAAACTAGAGCACTGCTGTATCACCTGCATCTTCAATTTTTATGACATACCATTCATAACTAATGTTTGAGATGTCAGTCCTACTGTGACCTCAATCCTGAAGAGTAACCAGTGATCCAGTTCTGGATAGCTATTGCAAACTTGGCTTGGTGCAATACATTTCAGGTAGCAGTAGATGCAGGACCAATACAAACAAAATCCGAGCGACTGGCTACATCAGAAAGTTAATACACAGAAAGCAGGTGTGAATTCAAAGTTTATCAGCTATTCCACACTAACTGTCTATGTGTATGCTTCAACTGCTTCCTGATTTAGTATGACTATATGCAAAGATGCTTCACTAACTTTCCTCTTTAACCCTCTTCATCTGCTCCATGCATCTCCCTTCTCACAATGGAAATTTTAAGAAGCAGTTTTGACAGCTGACCATAAACATCAGCTAAAAATTTTACTTATCACTAAGTGTAGATGGAGATGGGAGGCATAAAAATGGGGAATATCACCATCCAGCATTGCTACACAAAACTTCATAACCTGAACCCACTGTGTAAGTCTCTGATGTGCAAAACCACCCACACTCTTGATGTAAATCTGCAAGAAATCATTATTCAGTCACAAAACAAAGGGTTTAATCCACAAGTAACATTTTTAGAGCAGAAAAACCCTTTTCTATGTCAGAAAAAAACAAGCAGCAGATAATCTAATCTCCAGAGCATACAGATAATATGCTCCCTGCAAAGAGCACAACTAACTAAACTGGATACCACAACATTTTACAGGCTTACCACACACTACCTTCTCAAGGCTTCACTCAGTTGTTCTCAGAGGTAACTAAAGCCTTTTTCCTTAACGGTGTCTTCATACTATAGACTACCTGGGCCCTCACTCAAAGGAATAAAATACCTACACACTTGATCTAGCTGAATACCTTCCATGACCAGCACTACTCTTAAACTAACAGCTATCTGGTTAAACCTACCCAGGATGAGTTTTATAACACTAATTCTGGAGCTATGGCAGGGTCATGCGTTAGGTTTCTTTGGATAATCTATCTTCAAAACTTCAAATTTTCTGATCTGTTGTATACAGAAATGCACAGAAAAGAAAAACTACTTCATAAACAAATCCAGTATTCCTCTATATAGCCTCCTGGACACAATGTTTCTCACATCTATTCTTTTTACAGAATCACAGTTTTATCTCCCAAATATCTGCTTTACTAGTGATACTTTAGCTCCTCTACCTTCTATGAGTTTTAAGTAGCTACAGAACTGAAATGTCCACGTAAGTTTTTAATTCCTCCAACTGCAATCTTCAATGTTGGCTTCATAACTAAAATTTCACTGAATATAGCACTTACAATTAATCGAAGTGATTATAAGGACAGCAGTTGTGTAGCTTGGTGTATTTCATAATTACACACTTCTCAGTAGAGTACTTCTCGTATCGGTAATGCTTATATTAAGCAGCATAAATTGAAGCACCTCCTGTGAAGGCTGCCATCCACTGTTACATTTGGAAACGATTCTGATTTTACAGAAATTAAACTTTGTAAATGTGTAAGATACACCATTTTCTTCTTCACCAAGACAGGCTAAATTTCAGCCTGGCATTTCACCTCTTACCAAAACAGTCAAAGAGCATATTCTCACCTCCCACTGCTGCAGCCTCTTAGTACAGAGCAGGAAAACAAATTTTCCACTATCTGTCACTATCTGACCTTTCAAATGTAAAGACAGATTACATGAATGACTTTACAAACCTAAAATCAACTGAATAAAATATTACATCCTTTCAATAACAGGGAAAAAGCAGGAATGTTTTGGAAGGGATCTCATTGTTTTTTAAAGTGATTGAGATTGTTAACAATAGAATTTAAAAAGCAAAAGAAATTTATAAGCCATTAAAATCCTATTACACAGAATGCTCTTAGTGGCTATCATTGAGCAGACCTTTGATTGAAGACAGTCATGAAGTTCATTCTAATCACTCATTTCTAAACTTCACAAATTGTGAGAGTGTTAACGCCCTTTTTGTTAGCTTAAGCAGAAGGCTGTTTTTCCATGGCAGTTTAACACAAACCCAAGCTGTCACACCCTGCCTACTTCATTGTCTTGGCACTGAGGTTCACAGAGAGCAAGCAAGAAAGCTGATCCCGATGATCCACCATCGGGATTAACCTCACCAAAAATGATTTTTCATTGGTCCTTCATCATCTGGGGAAGGAATCCTGTAAGCACCGGAGCCATCACAGGGAAGGGGACAGGGAGCACACCTCCAACAAAGGACAGGAGGAGGGCCAAGATCTCGCAGGTGGTACATGGATCAGTTTAAGCACCACCAAACTGCCTCACGCAGATGCAGTTTCACATTTAGCCTAGTCCAGCATGACCACAGGCTGCCAAGAAGGACTGGTGCTGCCCCTCTC